AAGACCTTTCAAAGATGAAGACGTCCTCATCCCTTGCATTCTTATGATTCCAACGGATATGCCGTTTCAATTCAAAAGATTGCAATTCCTAGTTCGATTGGCGTTTGCAATCATCAACAACAAAGCTCAGGGCCAACCTTTGAGATTGTGAGGTTTAGATCTAGACACATTGCTTCTCACATGGACAGTTATATTGTTTCTAGAACATGGGGAGTTGCATGTTCTAGAATTGACAAACCAGACAGTCTCTGTATCTGCGCAAACAATGGAACAATAAAAGACACTATATACCCACAAGCATTCTTACAAACATGTGCCTTCTCTTTTCCATTTAATAACAACTCTTTTCTATTTAACAAATTTTGTTTATTGAGGTTAGCTGACATTTGGTATGGTTCATGCTGCGGACGTGCGAAAACACCGAAATCTCTCTGTGGTGTTCCCCCTTTGTTAGCTTACATCCTCCTTATCGGCTTAATTTTATTTGCATGGATGCATCATCTTGTCTGGTCGATATTGTATGAATTTTATTTTAACGGGATTTAATTTTAGTAATCTGTCAGTTGTTATATTTTCTGTCTTCCAGGAATATTTTTTGCCAGCAAAGCTACCAGCTTAAATTGTTGAATGGATGTAAATATTAATTGCTTGTTCGCATCGTCAATTTTCAATATAAAAGTGATAATTGAGAGTCGATGCCGAAATATTAAGCCAAATTTTTGAGAAACGAAACAAAAACAAGCAAGGAAAAAGAAATAAAAATAAAATTGAACAAAGAACCACTAGTTATTATAATCTCCAATTATGTATTTATCGAAATTATCTTGTTCTTTTAAATGGGATGATTGATTCAATATAGGGAGAAAACTTTGTCAGACCAAATTACCCCTTTTATAGAAATAAATGTGATCGAAAAACTGGTACTTGAATGTGACTTGACAGAGGTATATACAGGACTAAACGAAACAAATTGAACATAGTTAATCCAATGATTTATTTTGGTTTTCGTTATTTAAAACATTTTAACTTTCTACTTGAGAACCAACCGAATAACCTAATCACGCCAGTGCAGTAATAAACAGTCCCAAAGATATGTAATCCTGATATACAGTGTAACGTATAACCCTGATATACATCCAAAAAGAGACTGGAACTCGGTCATTCCTTCTAGAAAGACATCATCATTTACAGTAGGAGAATTCGTGAGTGTTATGTCATTTTACCCCCATGCAATCAATCTTTGAATAACAAAGGGAATTGATAACATCGAATCAGAATTAATGGGTGATGATTGTGGGAAGAATTTTATCACAGCTGCAAATATTTAGTAGCAATTAACAAAAATACAACCTGCAAGTCTTGGATCTTGAAACAGGGATTGATAACAGCCTATACCGCTACTTGCTTTTCTCATATGTGAGACCAGTAGATCCCTAAAGCCGGCCGCAAACGAGGGTAGTTTCAGAATTTTATGTCTTAATACATATGTTACTCAGTGCTAATAAGAATATTGACTAGCATTATCTAGAATACTGGTTGGTTTTATATTAAAATGACTTCTAATAGCTTCTGTTTACCTACCAGTTTCACCATTCGAAATTCACATTAGATCAAATTAAATATAAATATTCCAAATTCATACTTGACGGATTTAACATTTGTTTTATACTTTAAAAGCAGGAGTGTACAAGATCCAATACGAAAGATGTGAGACGTGCTTGTTTTCAAATAACAACTCCAACTACAGAACAAAAACACTGTTTAGCAAAATATACCGCTGTGGGCATTAGCCAAAAGAGGATCTTTGTTGGAAAACTCGGGGAAATTTATTATGATACGCCAAAACAAAGTATGTGCATTACAAATTTGATTCATAAATAAATATTGTCTTATTTAGATCATTTCTCCGGCAGGAGATTCATTAAACAAGAACTGAAATTAAATTTCCAACATACAAAGTAATGAATCA